GATGGATTCCCAAGAGGGTATGGAACCACACACATAAAAAGTTCCCAAATGGTTTCAAAGATTAATAAGAATTGTGAAGGCAGATTTGATGGCCTACCCAGCAGAAATAATCAATCAAATAGAAAACCTTGAATCCATGGTGATAAGTCTCAACAAAGAAACACAAGAGACACCAACTAATTGAACATGAAAATACATGGCAGTGAAGAACAATCAGGAAGAGGAAAAGCAAAAAGCGATTATGTTAAAAGAAAAAAAATGAGTTAATGACATGCTTCAAATAACAAGATCAATGTGAGTCCAAGCAACCCAAAGTTTGACCTCACATTCTGCAATTTAACAAAGATGACAAAAATGACAATTGTCAAAGGTGATGAGGTTGAGGGAAGATAGGTATACGGGTACATTGTTGATGGAGCTGGAAGTCAGTATGAGTGTTAAGGAAAGCAATATGGAATTATCAAAATGAAGTGACTAAATTGTCCATAGTTTTCCTAGAGGAAGTTTTTGAGACAAAGAAAGTTCCTACATGCAACCCAATATTTATGGCATCATTTTTGTAATAGCAAACAATTTGAAACAAAGTAGAGGTGCATGGATAGGAGAATGACTAAACAAATGGTGGCACATGATGTTATGGAGTATTACTGTGCTGTAAGAAAATATGTATATTATGAACACAGAGATGCATAGAAACATCTACATCAAGTAAGCAAAACAAAAAAAAAAACAATGTACACAATGACCACAACAATGTAAATATAAAGAACAACCACACACACACACACACACAATCAAAAGTAAACATTGCAAAACTCCAAAGAACAGCTATGACTTGAAAGAAGAGATGTGAGAAGATACTCTCATTCAACCCCTTTGCAAAGTTGGAAGGGTCTCAAGTGTTGTGTAAAGTACATATTTTCAGATGTCATTGATGTATTGACCAGTTATGCTTATATTTTTCCTCTACTTTTTTTTCTTTAAAATACAGTGTTATGTGAGATGGCTCTTTGGGAAGACAGAGATATCAGGAAAAATTATAGTGATATTAAAAACAAAAAGAAATAAAAACTTATTCTATAAAGAATTAATGGTACCATATTGGCTGGTTTGTTCAGTGAGAAGTACACTGTCAGAAGATTAGGAGCTCCAGTCTCAGTAGTAGGAATGTCCTGTGCCCACCAGGGTTACCCATAGGATCATGATAGAGTGAGTTATATATATATATATATCACTATGGCTTATCCCTTTGAGAACTCCTGACCTAGCATTGTGAGTGAAGGGTAGGTGAGCAAGTAATCCCAGAGAGAGCAAAGAATAGGGATTGGCACTTAAAATCCATTAAATATAATAAACTCCTCTCACATTGAAAGGCCCTCTCAATCTAGCTCCAACTTGTCTATCCAAATATATATCATAGCATCCCCTCCTCATCACACAATGCTACTTTCCTAAATCTATTAATCATCTTGATGTATTTCTTCTCTGATTTCCTAAGTATACCATCACTACTATCTGCAAATAAGAATAATGATGTCTCCTCTTCTAAATATAGTCTCTAGATAGAGCAATTAGACAGGAGAAGAAAAACAAAGACATAAATAATGAAAAAAAAGAGGTGGCATGGTCATTCCTATTTGCAGACATAGCATTACCAAACCTCACACTATATTCTAAAGTGATAGTCATCTAAAGCATTTGGTGATGCTTTTTTTTTCTTAAAAAGAAGAAAACTAACTCAGTAGAAGAGATGAGATGAGTAAGAAACAGAAATAATAGAAAACAGCAGCCTAGCATTTGATAAACACAAGGATATAAAATACTGAAGGTAAGAATCTGAGGGTCATAACTCTGCAGCTAGAATGGAACTTAAAGGATATTGAATTTAATCCCCTTATTTGAAAGATGAGTGAAAAGAGGCTGAGGAAGTTACATTACTCGTTAACTAGATTTGCCCAGGGTTACTACGCTGGGAAGCATCTGAGGCAGGACTCACACAGAGGTCATTCTGACTCCAAGTCCAGCACTTGATCCACTGGATGACCTGAGAAGAAGTTCTGGAAAATTGCCATAATTAGGTTTAGACTAATATCTTACTATATAGCACTCTGTTTACCCAGATAAGCTCAACACAAATATGCAACCTAAATATGATTTGAAATATTATATTATTAAATAATAATAAAATACTACATTATTAAAATAGGATGTGGATGATTTTGAATCCCTTTCACAACTTTGGCTGTGGGAACATTTTGGAGAAAGATTCTTAACCAAAAAGTGACAGAAGATATCAGAAAAGACAACATACATGTAAAATAAATATATACAATATTAACAACAAATAAAATAAATATTAACAACCACATATAAAATAAAAATACTTGTATTTAAATAAAATCAATGAAGATAGAATAAGAAGATAAACTATAGAGTGGGAAAATACTTGCATAAAATATTCCTAATGAATATCTGATATCCAGAATATACCAGGAGTTCACACAAGTATTTAACACCAAGAATAATTCTTCAGTGGATAAGTGGTCAAAGAAGGAGAATGATTTTCCAAAGAATAGAAAACTACAAAGCCCACAGGAAAACATGTTTCAAATTGATACCAGTAAGAAAAAAGCAAATTAAACCAACTCTGGTTTTACTTTATACACTAAAACTTGGAAACGATGATGAAAAAAATAAAAATAGGTTTTTTTGGAAGGACTATGGAAAAATACTTTCACTGGTGTGCTGATTATGAAACTAAGATTGAGTCCAACAATTATGAATTTCAATTTGGAATTTCCAAGGAATGTAACTACTGTCTGTGAATGAATAAATGAGTGAACAAATGAATGAATGAATGAATGAATGAATGAATGAATGAATGATTTCTCCAGACTTGGGAAAATCTAGTTAATCTGTAAAATGGTAGTGATAATAGACTACCTTGCTAGATGATTATGAACAAGACATTTATTAATCTGTAAAACACTGGGCAAGTTATTTATAGTTATTTATATGCTAGTGCTTCTTATTTCTAGTACAATTACTTCAATGGATTGTTCTTACAGAAGGAACCAAGCAAAGTACTTTCGTACTGCCTTCACCATGAAACTCCCTTGCATCACTTTTGTGTCTGCCTATTACATGTATATATCATCTCCCAGTGAATGAATGTAAGGTCCCTGAGGGCAGAAATTGTTTCATCTGCATCCCCAAAGCCTAGTACAGTGTCTGTCACATAGTGGGCGCTTATTAAGTATTTGCAGATTGGTCTGATAAGCCCAGAGACCAAGGTTCCAGGTTTGCCACTAAATAGCTGTGTAACTTCAGAAAGACAAATTTCTGAGCCTCAGTTGCCACCATGTGCAAAATGAAGGGCTTTAGTAAGATGACCTCTGAGCTCCCTCCCAGCTCTAGACTTCTGACTCATCAAGGCATTCAGGATTTATGACTGTGTTAGAGTGAGAAGCCCTGCACCAAACTCCATTACCAGTCAGGAATATTAGCAAATCAAGGGGTATTAAATTGTTGCCTGTTGCTCAGAAAGTTTAAATTACTTGACCAGGGATGTTCAGTCAATGCATGTTGGAATCAGCATTTGAACCCTGATCTTCTGACTCCAAACCTAGCTCTATAACCACTAGGCAAACCTGCATCCTTGAATTCAATTATAAGAAAGACCACTTTACATATCTATGGCACTCTAGAGTTTTTAAAATCTCTTCACCATTATTAACATTGATTAGAGTACTACTAATAATTCCATGAGCTCACTCCTCACTATTACTCCTCCCACAATACCTTTGTATTTCTGGTGACTGGCACATTAATAAATTCGTGTTAAATGCTCGATTGACTAATTGATCATCATAGTCAGTTAAGGAGTGGAAAAGAAGATTTAGAATTTAGAATGGGAAGGGGATAGGAAAAGATGGAGGGGAGATCTTTGTGAAATCTAAAATCCAGCCCCCTTTCCCGGTGAAGTCCAGGGACTTGTTTATGGACTCTTATTTTTTGGCATAATCAACAATGTTTGGGATTCTCTTAGTAACCAAAGGAAGTGTAATGGAGGTAGTAGGGCAGAGACAGACTGAGAAAACTTGGATTACCCCTGGGGGGGATTTTTACAAAAAAAAAGTCTCCAAAATGAACACAGAGAGAACATAAGGTGGAGAGGAAATGCCA